AACAAAGATGCCGACGGCCTCTATGCTTAGCCGGGGATTAGGTCGGTGATTAAAAGGAAAGAAAGGGATTCTTTCCAGGTAGCCTTAATAAAGGCTGGTAGATTTTGCTCGTTGCAATCACTTCACCTCACAAACAAGCACGTCCGCTCAGCTCGGCTGTTCGCACTGAACTGGTGTGTATACCGATACGCTTATTAGCGTAACGTTATTCCAACTTAAATTACGGACAACGTTGTCGGTTATTAAAGTTATTGGTAATTTTCGATCTACTGCGCATGATTAGTATAACGGATAACGTTTAACGTTGTTCAAATAAGTGGCTTAAAATCTCCCTAATACTACGGGTAGTAAAACTAAACGTAGTATGAATGAATTCTGAAATTGGCTTGGCTTGAAAGTACATCATTAGCTGAAACAATGGTGTGAAGATTACTCTCATTTGGCATACCAATAAGCCATATACTAACGAGGCATTCCATTTTACTTGCAAATGTATCAGCAGTGTGCCATCCGCCGGCATATACCATTTCTTAGCATACAAGTTACTTACCTATTTTACTGGTATGTGTATTTCCGCCTTTAGAATGCGAAACGGACACCGGCAGCGCAGACAATGAATAAATTTGATGCGTTACAGGTTGCACTGCCATAATGTTATTAAATTCACCCTTTTGGCGAAAATTCGAACATAAATCTGAATAAAGTAAAATCTGAGGATATGCATGGGAACTCCCAGACATACACACGGTATATCCTCCGAGAGTGTCTTATAGAATAAAGTGTGAAGTGAAGTGGCCAAATACATCTAAATGTTAGGCCATCAATTGAGAAGAAGAAGAAGAATCCTAAAACTTTCAATTTTTAAATGTAAAAAATCAAAAATATTTTAAAGAAAAGGTTGAGGGAAAGGGATTTTATTTTTAAAAATTATAATTATAACATAATTGCAGGCAGTGATTTTTATTACTCTACAACTGTTCCTATGTCATCAGGTCTTCACATATTCTTAAATTTTCAGATATGTTTTAAAGGTAGTAAAATAGATAACCGAACTAAACAGTCGAATAATACTAGAGAAAAAATATTTTTTAAATTATAGTGTCGCAACGGTTTTAAATTTTAATGGCACACAACATTATTTAAAATTTGGTACTGAATAATAGAATTGAACTCACACTGAAAAGAAATTTCTTAAAAACAATAAACCTAAAATAAAAAATTGCTCCTCTATTCTTTTTGTCTTTATTCTCTATGAGTTGGATAAATTCTTTTTTCTCTACTAGACGAAGATGGAATAAACATTCCTCGGTTGTCATTGGTTTGGTATTTTATTCCTGAATATTTAGCAAGCATGTGATTTAGTTTGAAATTTTCAAACGACTTTTTCGACAGCTTTTAAGAAATTTGAGTTTCGTTTTGTGGTGCACTGAAATGTAAATAGGTTGATTTTTTTAATTATGAGGTTGAATTTAATCTTAATCTTTTGTTGCTCTGTTTATAATATAGTTATTAGACGTTAGTTCGTCGTCAATATAAAAGTTAGTTTTGTGGTGACTCCTGGATAAAAAAAAAAAACAAAGAAAATGGATTCATCAGCTAGTGAAGGTAATAAATATTTGTCAAGTTCTCTTCGAATATACTTTTTAATTACATACTTATATTTATTTATTTAAATAATTTTGAGACATTTTACAAAAAATGTAAAAAATATATGTACCTACCTGTTAATATTGTATATATTCTTTTTTGAAAAGGTGTACAATGAAATTTTGTGACTTATTTTAGGTTTTTCTTGCTGCATTAAAGTATATTTTTTTAATCTATTTCAGATGGTACTATGGAAATTGTTATGAAAAATATTTATACTTCTTGTGATCCCGAAAATTCAAATCTGGTTCCTGTGTCAAAACTGATTGAGTTCATTACACCATATATGTTGGAAGATCTGTAAGTCAGCAATTATTTAGAGTTTAATATATGTGCCAATGGAAACTTAGTATTTTAATTATTGTAGTGTTACTTTTCAATTTTTTAATATGTTGGAACATTTTTTCTAAATATGCGAGTGTTTCAAACTTAAATAATAGACAATTGCTAAAGTGTGGATAAAAGATAAAATAAAGATTAAATATTAAAAGTTTATGCAACAGTGTAAAACATTCAACTGAGTAAAATTGGGAGAGAAGTATAAATAGGTACATATTATTTTGTCTTATAATGAGATAGGTACTCTGAGTTACACTCGATATAAATTTTCATTCTTTTACTATAAAGTTAATCGAATACTTGTAAATAAAATAATATCAGCATATATACCTACATAAAAAAATCATGTCAAAAAGCATATGCATGCTCCACAAAAAATGTATACTGTTTCAAATAAAGATGCTATAATATTACTACATTTTGAAAACAGTCAGACATAGCGCTATAGTTAAATTAGATCAAAGTTGCATAATTTAGTGAATAATAAATTCTCAGATTAAAATTAAATTACTTTAAGTTTAAGCAGTGATTAAAATCTGAAAATTTTACATTTTTCAAAAAGTATCCCAAACTAAAGATGATGATTTTTTATTTCTCTCTGAAAGTATATTATTCTCTAATGTTTGCCTGTCTTTGTAACTGTTTCTGAAATGAGATAATGACGACTATTGGTGAAAATTAAAGTTGTCTTATTTTGATACTGAAATATCAACCCATACCAATTTTTAGGGTCTTACCTTGGTAACTTGAAGAGATTGCACATGCATGTGCATATATTTAAATTAACATAGGATGTTTGAAAAATAGAATATTATCAAATTAAAATTGTAAGTTATTAACTACAAGGAAAATTTTATTTTTGATGAATAAAAAACTGATATATGAATTGATTATGAAAAAAATAGTTTACATATACATATACCCACCAAGCAAAATAAAATTGTTACAACTTTGCCAGACATGATAGAAAATATGTTGTTTTATAGTGTCAAATTTGAAATATGGTATTATCTATCTTATAGCTGTTTTACATTGACAATTTATTGATGAATAAATTGACAAAGTTCTTCATGAATTAATTTACGAATTTATTGGTAAACAGTGTGGTTTTACACTGCTACAAACTTTATCAAGTTTTTTGACACATGAATCAGTTCTACCAACGAATCAAAGAAGCAAATAAATTTCAAAAATGTCACCTTTCCACTCATAATTGTAGTGATATAACAGCGGTACCGTTTTGACATATATTATATAAATATTAGTGTTTGTAAGTAACAAATCAGTAAAAACAATGCAAAACTAGTACGACGCCACACAATTATTTACATATTCCAATAACATAACCTCATTACTTATCTGAGGGTGGAAATCTGTTGGGTTGGTACTTCTGAACTTCACGAAGAAATTGACGAAAATTAGAACATGCTCTAATTCGTCAAGAACTTGATGAATAAATTCATTAAGTTATTTGACAGCAGATTTGGTGCATTACACTTGTCCAATTTCTTGATGAAGCGACTTTATGAATTAATTGATCAATAAATTGTCAATGTAAAACAGCAAGTAGAAATATCATGTTGGATAGATTAAAATATTGACATAAATTTGATAGGCACTGTTAAGTTTATATAAAAAATATATATCAACATTACACTAAAATATTGTTTGAATTTTTTTGAAAAAAATTACAGCAAACCAAATAATTCCATTTCAACATTTCTTTTATCAACTAGAAGATTACTTGCAGCAAGATGCTGTATGCCACTGAAACTTTTTGTGGTCGCTTCCAATAAACTTTCTAGTTAAATCATATTGATATGAAATATTCTAGCAAACTTGAAATGACCTTACAACAAAAATTACATTACATTACTTACAATATTATTACAATTACAAAATTTAAATGAATGCAAATTTCACAAATTTTGTTTGAAATTTCATCACAAAAGTTCTCTATGTGGGCATAGAAATCATATCCTAAAAAAATGGCATGAGACCCACTTTTCATTAGCTAAATGACAACGTTAATTTTTTACCAGTTGTCACTGGATGGCAGTATTATAGTATTTAATTTGAAACATTCTATTTAGATATGTTTGCTTACTTCTTTTTCCTTTTTGGATATTTTATGTCAGCCTATTTCTGCTACTATGGCTAAACACTGATGACAAGGCAAGAGCAACACCCAACCTGGAAATTTTGCCAAACCCCCAGTTTGTCGTAGGGTAGGGATCTTTTACTTGCCTAACATTGTTTAGACAAGAGACCGACAGTTTTACATCCTCTTTGAGGGATGGTATGTCTTTCTATGTAAACCTCGCCTAAATTTGTATAGCTTGTGTGAATACACCGACTTTAGACTAGAGAAAAATAAATATGGTTGCAACGTCGACATGTTCTGAACATATAAGCTTAACACAACTAGCAATACTGCAGGAGATTTTGGGTCTTTGTAGGGCTAAAGATGAGGTTTCTGTAGCTATTTTTCAGCCTATGCATTGCTCTGATAGCCAAGCTAAGATTTGACTGCCTAGCCTTGCCAAAGTCCAAATAATCCCTGCCTTAAATTGCTTTTAGCGCTGCTTCACTTTCGGAGTAAATTATAATTCATTGGTGCTTTATGTTGTTCCATTGCACAATATTCAGTGGCTTAGGTTGGAAGATTTTGGTTTGCGTTCCTAGATTAAGAAGGATTTCAACCCTTTCCTTAACCCCATGCATATCAATACCGACTACTGTTCCCGTCCTTATTTGACAAGTAAATGTATATATTACAATTTTATTTTAATTTTAGTTCTGCTTTAGAAAGTCTTAGACGGTCATTAGATCCAGGAAATAATAATGTTTGTGTCAGCAGTGAAAAGTTTTATGAAACAATGAATGAATGGACAAAAAAGATAACAAATTCTTCAGATGAAGACAGTGACTTTAATAGAACACCCAGGTATTTATTTTTTAAATAAGTTTAATTAAAATTTGACTAAATATAATCTACAGTGTTTTGGAGGTCATAGATGAAAAGCAATTACCTTATATCCAGTCCACCCCTAGGGCCAGTTTTGGGCAAAAACTTTTGAGTTGTGAAGGACTACTAAACTTATCTAATGTATCTGCTTATAGCTTATCCACAAGTACACATACCAAAGATAACAGCATGGGCAAGTATTATTAATTTTTAGGCAGATGTACAGCTTGTAATAAAAATATGAACCAGCAAAACGATATATAATTTTATGCTAAAATGCGCTTCGTTGAGGAAATAGGTAGAGGACAGTCGTAACAAAAATAATTTCTACATCCCTATCTTAAAAAAAAAGATTTATGATTACATATTTTATTTAAAGGAAACATATTCTTGCCATTTTCCCATAATGTGTTTCATTTTTGAGTTACTTAATTGCAAAAATATATAGTAGGACCGTAAATTAATTTTAAAAGAATTTTTTGTAAATTCAAGGTTTTATTGTGAAGAATTGTGTACATTATTAGTTTTGTCCATCACTAGCCACTATTTTTCGCATTTTCTGGCAGCATACGGATTCCACATCAAATTTTTCGTATTTTCGTAAGATTGAGAGCGCTGCTTGTGTCTGCTTGAATTGCGGCCGTTTTTCCTTTAATGCACAGCTCAAACGCATCAGTTGTATATTTTGGTACCACCAGTGATCGTTTCATTCGATTGCAGCAGCTCATAGTACATAACATCAAGCTGGTCCCACCAAATACAGAGAAAGAGCTTCGAAACATGAATATTCGGCCTTGCCTTTGATTTTAATGCATGACCACGCAAACCCCACTATTTTCTATGCTTAGAATTATTATAATGTATCCATTTCTCATTCCCCTTTCACCCAAAGACTCTTTCTTTTTTTGCCTTGAAGTAATTATTCACATGTGAAAAATCACTTTTCAACATCTCTTGACTTCAATTCGTATGGCATCCAATTTCCTTGCTTTTGAATGATACCAACGCAATTAAACATTTGGAAACTGTTGTGTGATTCAACGGTTCGGCAAGTTTATCTTCCGAATTGAATGAATTTTATTTGAGAATTGCCTCCAATTCCTTATCTTGAAAAATTTTCGGTTGGCCAGAGCATTTTTTATTGGCGGTATCGAAATGACCACTTCAAAAACATCAACTGTAAGTTTTCAACTGCACTGAATGACTTTCAGCAGCACTTTTCTTTTAATTAAACAGGAAAAGTAGAACTTTCCGCAACTTTCAGTAAAATGACACATAGTAAAAAGTAAAGCTAATGACAGAGCTTTGACATGAATATAGTTACAGAAGTGTCCGATGTGATATAGCATAAGTTATGCCATCTATTGTAAATCCCTCAAATTTAATTCACAGTCCTAGTATAATTTTTTGTTCATAAGCATTTTGTAAAAAATAGAATAACAAAGAGGTTCTTTAGGAGATTTGGAAAAAAATAAAATGATGTATTTAGAAATAATAAAATTACATGGCATACCATTATTATTTTCTAAGTAGCACTCAAAATTTGTTGGTTCATTTTTATTATACCCTTTATACAGTATATCTCACTTAACTAACCCTTGATTATCCAACTCAAGCATGGTTCAATGATTTTCCTCTTTCATATTGTGTTAAGCAATAGGTTCTGTATTAACCATTCTTCATCATTGCTCAACTTCTGGCCGTCTTAAATTCAATATCTCTTTTTAGGTGGTTTTTTAGTTTTAAGTCCATATTAACAGACTTTTTTGGTTATTTGGAAGTGGCTGCTCCTGTTGGGAACAGATTAACGAGGTTTTATTGTAATTCATGTAATACCCTTGTAAAATTTTTTGTTGTAGGTGGACAAGAGAAAACTATTTTAGAAGAAGAAATAAAGCGTCTGGAACATCATTTAAATAAAGTTTCAAATGAGATGGTGATGGTTAAACTCCAACTTACTGCAGCGGAAGAACAAAATGAAATTTTACAAGCTGATCTAGATCGATGTAAAACCAGATTACATTCGTTAGTATTTATCATTTTTCTTTTTCTGTACATAAGAGGGTGGGATAATTTGACATTTGTGAGAGGTTTCCTGTATCTCCTGATGAAAATGATAAAAAGTGGTTAAAGTGTCCAGAACTCGATTTTTGTGAAAAATTATTAAAAAAACACCATATCTTAATTATTTTTATTAAGAGATACAGGGCATTTTCTGTTAACTAACGTTTTGCTTGTAAAAATTTTTGATTTTAGTAAAAGGTTTTTTTATTCATTAATTATAATATAACCCAAACTTATATTTTTTAAATGAGATACCTTGTTCATTTTGAAAATGTTGAAACCTATGTCAGATTTTCCTTCAAATGATGTGATGTGAAGGAGTATAAAAATATTTTTTTTAATACTCCTAAATCTTAACACATAACGCATAATGTCGAAGGACATCATCTACTTCCTGAGTGCAAGGCACATGCCGTCCCTTGATGATTGCCTCATTAACAAACTACTTCAGTATGTCGTCAGCTTATTGAATACCTACTAAATTCCTGTAAAATTGTATTCGTTCAAGTTTCCAGTGAATAATAGCGAACCAGGGCCACTGAAAATAAAAAAATGTCTAAAAATGTGTCCTCTGACAGAAAAAAGTTAAAACAATATTTAAATGATTCTGACGATGATATTGCTTGTCCAAACTTAGTAGATTTGGATTCTGTCAGAATGTTCTGGCAGTGGTGAGAATGCGGAACACCACTATTCTTTAAAGACAATTTAGTTAAATTCGGCACATCTAACATTTTTTTTGAGGACCGGTGGAAATATCGTGCAAAATAATCTACAGATTTAATATTTTTCTTGACCGTACATCCACCGCAAATTTTTTTTTTGTGGCATCGAGTTCTTTTAAGAAGACTTGTATTTTATCCTTTAACTTTTTGTATTTTTATCTATTTAATTTATGAGTTTGGCATAACTAGTTGTTATTTTTGGACATAATAATCGAAGTACAGTGAAAATCGGTTATAACGACCTTCAAGGGACCGTTTGTTTACGGTTGTTATAACCGATAGACATAATAAGCAATTACCTACATATATTTTATTTAAAATTTTTATAAAAATCTTTAAGTATGTATTGCTTTGTGTTCAAAAGATCTCGCGGGCTTCATTTTCTATGAATTGTTTACGAATAGAGACTTTACTTTATTTCTATCCTTCCAAATTGTTGAAATCGTAGTGTGACACGCCACATTCTTAGTTTCTCTATATTCCTATTTAGAAACACCCTATGTTTCTAAATAAGTGCGAAATATTTTAGGGGGTGGTTGCCAAAGTTATTTTGTGAAAGAAAGTTCATATAAATGTAGGTCGAAATATGCTTCGTTTCCGAGATAGTGTTTAAATTTTAATTTTTTATTTATTTTTATTAATTATTTCAAAGATATTGACTCGAAATTTGAAAATGCTTTGGAGGGATAAATGTACATTTTTTGGGGTGATCCGAATATTTCTACTTGCACCTTTAACCCTTTCACTGCTCCAGACGTATATATATTCGCTAAAAATTTATAGGGCTCAAACTGCTCCAGAGGGATTAATTCTCATGAATAGTTAAATTGGATCAGGCTGCTCAAGCCGTATATATTCGCAACCATGCGCATTAGTGACTCGGTTATTGCAATTGGTAAGGCGAATTTTTGCGGGCGAGCTTATACCGATTGTGACAAATATTTTTATGGAAAGAGGTACTGGTAATAATACCAAGATTGTTCATGTTTCTTTCAGTTTCTATTTAGTACATATACTGTATTTTATTCAAAATAAAATCGTAAAATTTATCGTAAATCGTAATTTAACACAACATAATGNGTTTCTTTCAGTTTCTATTTAGTACATATACTGTATTCAAAATAAAATCGTAAAATTAATCGTAAATTGTAATTTAACACAACATAATATAAAACTATAAATGGTCTAACTGCTCCAGACGTATATATTTGCACGCGATAAACTTTCGCACACGGCGCGGTAGCTACGTTCAGACATATTGCGCAGCGAAAGGGTTAAATAAAAGATTATCAAAACCTACAATAAAATGTTTTATTTTTTTCCTCAAAAACGGTGCATCCTACGAAAAAAATTGAAGAGACCAATTTCATTCAGAATTAATGGCAGATTTCTAAAAAAAAAATATCAAAACGGGAAAAGTCAGTGGCGTACAATTTTTTTTTTATTAAAAAATAATTCTTGTACGAACGTCACTGGTGCAAATAGAAATCTTCGGATCACCTCAAAAAATGCACATTTCTCCCTCCAAAACATTTTTCTCATTTCGAGTCAATACCTTTAAAACTTTGAAATAAATAATAAAAATAAATAAAAAATTAAAATTTAAACACTGTATCTCGGACATAAAGCATATTTCGACCTACGTTTATATAAACTTTTTTCACAAAATAACTTCGGCAACCACACGATAAAATATTTCGCACTCATTTACAAACACGCTGTATGCGATTTTTCTTCTTTATTAAACACTTTTCTCTTCGACATCGTGCTAGAAAGTGGTAATTAATGCATATAAAATAACTATGTGTAGATAAGTCATAATTTGTCCCAAACGTACTAACTGCTGTCACAAGTGTGGATACCGGCAGGGCGGGCGGAAGAGCGGTGCATTGGTTTTAAGGCCGTATTGGTCATTATAACCGACAGATTCTATGGTAAATGTATATAAAAACGCGTCGCTAAATCCGAAATGTCGTAAATGGTGTCGTAGTAAACGATATTTTCAATATGGTATTTCTATAGGATTAAATCGGGACTTCCAAATTCCGTCGTTATATCCTATATGTCGTATAAAGCAATGTTGTTATAACCAATTTTTACTGTAGTTGCATTTATATAAATGGGAAAAATACCCATACACATTTTTGAATAGGTGATGACACAACTTGAGCTTTTATCTTAAAGATCAGGGCTCATTTCAAGCTTTTCTTCCTTTTGTAAATTTTCTGTATTCATAATGGTTTTTGCAATATTAATTATTCATCGTCATTACATTTTTGATACAAATCCGATTTAATATCCATAAAAATTTTTATTTACTTGATAATAAAAATTAAATAATGCTTCATACAGTACAGAAACATTTAATTGAATATTGTTCCATGAGAGTTATTGGATATAATCACCATTTTTGACCACTCATCTCAGATTTCTCTCATTGTGATTAATTTGATAATGAATTAATATGGTGACCATTTCCAGTAATTTGGATAAAAGAACATGGAATTACAAATTTGTCAACATCATTTCACAAGTTTTCAATGACAATTAAATTAAATTAAATTTATATACAATATGTATTGGTTACAACTAACGAAGTAATTTCATGAAAACTGTTAGGTATACAAGGAAAATTTAAGACTTCTACTTTTATATTAGAATAAGAAATGCCAAAACAATATGAGGATATTTGTTTATATTTTTTTATTCTATAAATGCAATTATTTGGATGACTATGTCAAAAAATGATATCTTTACACAGGCACATTAAACATTTAAATCAGATAAAGACTTAATTTGGAAGAAAACTAATATTTTCGCTTTAATGCCATCTAGCAACTGAACAAAAGAATTTGGGATAGAGGTCTGTTGTGTTGAAACCTATTTTAGAGTTCCCTACATGCACATCTCTGTGTCGGTACATTTACGAATCAGCCTATATATAATAATTTATACATCTTTTAGTGAGCAACAAATTATTGAACATCTTCAAAGTGATAAAAGATACAATGACGAATTGAGAGAGGAACTGAATTCCACTAAGAAGCAAGTTGAGGAGCTCAATAAGAAGCTACTTCAATATGAGAAGGAGAATCACCATTTAGTTAATGACATTAAGCAAAGTGAAAAGGAGGTATATCATTTTTTATAGTAATTCCTTATCTATATTAATTATGTTCTTAGAATGCTAAATTAGAGGAAAAATGCGAGGAATTATCAAGAAGAGAACAGGAAGCAAAAAAGGAAATAATCAATATCAAAACTGAGCTGGATTTAAAAGATCAAGAAATAATAACAATACTGAAAATTAATGATGAGTTAAGAAGTAAACTAAATCAACAAAGAGACACTATCGATCAACTTACAAATGAAAATGAGGTAACTTCATAGTACATTCTAGCATCTTTCATTTTGAGCAAAAAAAAATTCATATGAAAATATCAGTAAAGTGATTCTTTATTGAACAAGCCTGATATTCTGAACCGAGCCAGAGAAGCGAGCGAGGCGAGTAACAGACGAGTTCGATAAAGACACTTTACTGACATGGTGCATACAAAATTTTATCGCCAACCGTAAAAATGTATAATTTTAAAAAATTGAGACATTATAACTTATCACATTTTATTATGACAAAGTAAACAGAAAAATAACAGAAAATACAAAACAAATCTACTTATTTTTTGGTAAATTGGTTTTCAACCTAAAATCATCTTTGCAATTTTCGTTTTGTTAAGCACAGACTTCTCAACATAGGATTTTGTAATCGTGTCGCTTTTCCATCCGTTTTAAATTTTCCTTATTGCCGCCTGCGTTAGCAAAGAGAGTGGCGAATGTGCGATGATAACAATGTTCTGTATAAAGTGATGGTTCTGACAAATGCAGATAGTTGGCAACCAAAAGTATGGATTCCAAGTGGCTGGTCTGTGCATTTACTATTTTTATAAGTTAGGAAAAATCGGTCGTGGGGTGGCTGTTTAGGACGCAGAGCTAAATATTTGTTAAATTAACCCTTTCGCTGTGCAATACGTCTGAATGTAGCTACCGCGCCGTGCGCAAAACTTTATCGCGTGCGAACATATACGTCTGGAGCAGTTAGACCACTTATAGTTTTACATTATGTGTTAAATTACGATTTACGATAAATTTTACGATTTTATTTTAAATAAAATACAGTATATCGACAGCTGTACTAAATAGAAACTGAAAGAGAGATGAACAATCAGTACCAGTACCTCCTTCCATAAAAATATTTTATTGCTATAAACTCCGCCCGCAAAAATTCCCCATACCAATTGCAACAACCGAGTCACTGCGCATGATTGCGAATATATACGGTTTGAGCAGCCTGATCCAATTTAACTATTCAAGCGAATTAATCCAATTTAACTATTCAAGCGAATTAATCCGTCTGGAGCAGTTTGAGCCCTATAAATTTTTAACGAATAAATACGTCTGGAGCAGTGAAAGGGTTAATCTACAGAGTTTACTTTCCCTCAAAATCTGAAATGATCACAAATATTTGAGGCCTTTGTTGGTCCCTCTTTTAGTTACATGAATAACCAGAATTGTTTCTTTGTGCTGTGTGTCTTTTAAATTCAAAAGTTCTTCATTACGTAAAGCTCCAGCAATGCCAAACACAATACAAATCTAAACTAATTACTACATTTATATCAAATTTTTGGAATATGATTTCTTCGATATTGTTTTAAAAAAGCCGTAAGTTTTTTATATTTTGCTAATGTCAACATCATTTTTTGCTGAAAGGGTTGCTTTCACCATGGAATAATACGACCACATTGGAGAAGGAGAATACTCTTTCGATAACTTGGAAAAATATGCCAGTAAAATATTTTCACTATTTTTTTTTAATTTTTTTTTATTCCGTGTTCCTCGCTAAGGACAATAATATGTATAATGTGCAAGCTAAATATGCAGTAAAATAATAATTTTCTGTATATGGTAATCAAGCATTTTCGAACAAAGAATATTTATGAATAATTGAATTTTGCGAGTAGAGCTAAATGGGATAATTTTATGAAATTTATAAAAAGATGAATTTTGAATAAATACTAGGCTTACTATTAGAACGCTTGGGTTCTTGTTTTTCTATTCACTTTGACTGTTTGAAGCCTCACAATACTGAACTCAAAAATGAACTATTTTGATCTGAATTTTGAGTCGCAACAGAACTGGATTTTATCTCCTTTTATTTTATTTTTCCCATAAGGCCCTTGTAAAATCGCTTATTGCGCCACAAATAAACAATATTTTGCGAAACAATAAGGTTTGCGGTCAATAGGGATGGGATGGGGATGGTTTTCCACTCCTCAGAAAATGAGAGGGTAGTTTTTCTCTCCCCTTAGAAATGTATAACTGGTTTGATATTTAATGAAATTTTCTCTGATTCTTGGATTATTATGTAGGCATCTGCCTTCGAATCTACAACAATATCAACTAGATGAATGACACTAATTGTTAGCAACCTATTAAATAATTAGCCTGGGAGTCCTATATCAAAATCACTGCATTTCATTGTCACATTTTCATATGAACCTTTTTGCTCAAAATAATCTATATTATAATCAAATACTGAGAACTTTGTTGATCATAATCAAAAACCCACTGTATTTATGTTTGTTCTTAAGAACGCAGTGATTAACCGAACAATTTAAAGAAAGAAGGTACTGAGTAATAATAACTCAGAAACAAGGTTAAGAGCAAACTGTTCTTGTTGAGAATATAAGAAAAAGAGGAATGTTCTTGCTGAAAATAAGAATGAACGTAAAGAACAAGATGTTTTTCTAAGCGTTCTTTCTGAGAACAAAAGGAACATATGGTTCTTTCTTCTTACTCCCTGGATTTTTCCAGATTTAGATAACTTGCCTTTATGGAGTTTTATAACTTTTCCTATCCTAGTAGTGATTTGGGAGCAGGGGCAGGGAAATAGTTTAACTTTTTTTTCCTTAAGAGTTTCGTAACACTATAGGTTCCGTCGGTCCAAAGAGACAACAAGAAAGTATCCTTAAACAACTTTCAGATTGTCATTTTAAATTTTTTTTATTTGTTGAATACCCTGTATAGGCAAACTAAAAATTCTCCATGGCAATCCTAATTTGAAAATAAGCAAGAAAAAAGCAGATGTGATATGTTTTTTACAAATACATTTTTGACAATACCAGGCATGCTAGGAACTACAAGGAAAATTTTTGAGTACATTATTCGATATATTGCATCTTTGTGTCAATAAGTGGATCTATGCACATGACCGCGAAAGTAAACGGCAGTCGACTGTATGGGTCTTTCAAGATGAAGCAGCTCCGCCAATTTTTCTGAAAAAAATGGATGTGGTAACTATCATTAGTACTACGTTGGACAGTCAATTCTGAATGGTACACAATTTGTTTGTCAGAAGTCTTTGAAAAAATAAGGGAAACCAAACGCTGAAGAGGACCGTTCTCCACCAGGACAATGCGAGCTCCCACACATTGGCTCAAACAAGAGACCTTTTGAGAACTAAAAAAATCGAATTGATAAGTCATCCACCGTACAACCCTGATTTAGCACCCATTGACTTTTTTATTCCCGTACAACAAATATAAATTAAGAGGTCAACCTTTTTCGACGCCTGAAGAGGCGATTGATGCAGTCAAAATGCATATTTTGAAGGTATGTCAATCGGAATGGAAAAAGTGCTTCGGAAATTGGTTCAAGTGCATGCAAAAGTGTATTGATCTTCAGGGAGAATATATTGAAAAATTGTTCTCTATTTCCGAAATATAAAAGGCAATCCTTATATGTTCGTTTTGCTCTCAGAAAGGACATTTTGAAAAACATTTTGTTTATGACTTCATTCTCAGGAAGAACTTCTTTTAGTAAGAACAGTTGATTCTTAACTTTGTTCTTTGTAGAAGCATTCTTTATAAATTGTGCTGACCACATTCTTAGTGCAGCATTCTTCATATTTTGTTCAATAGCTGTTTTCTATTCTTGGGTATATTCATATATTTACCACTCATCATGAAATACCTTGTGTGATTAGAGTACTATTTGAAATTTATGTTCCAGCTCCTAGATCATCTGAAAAATAATTTGGAGAAAACGCTCCGAGATAACTTATCAGCCAGACGTGATTCTCTAGTGCACCAGTATAAGACATGCCTTGCAGATTCCAGCAATTTACCCGATATAGGTACTGTACCAATTTATTCCTCTCCCACCAATAGCAGTTCACCCTCTGGTAGTCCAGTTGTAATTAAAAAATTGTTGTCTCCTAAAACACAAACACCACTTTTAGAAAATAATATACCTAAAATTATGCAGAGCTTTGACATTCTTAGTCCAAAACGTACTGGTAACTCATTAAGTTCCTTAAAATACCTGCACTCCCTTCCTCTTATGTTTTATACTGAACGGTGTAATGTTGTTCAAGATCAAGGAAGCGAGGATGAATGTTTCTTCAAAATACAAGGCACAGATCATAGGAATCCCGCTCGAGACTCGCTACATGCAGAAATTTCTCAGGTATTTATTTTTACGACAGTGAATAGTGATTCCTTTTATTTTTATGGTAAATAAATACAATAAGGTTTTTGGTAATTTTTACTTTTTTGCCATAATATGTAACCTAATGTGGCATCTCCAATATTACTATTTAGAAATACAAATGTCGGATTATACAGGATCGTCACAAGAGAATTGTTAATCGATATATGAGTACAAAGAAAAAAGAATAAAGATTTTAATTACATTTTTGGCACATACTAACGTAACGTTTTTTAAAATGTATCTTTCACATGCTCCAAATAATTGTTTCACACTTCATGAAAAGTTAAATAATACAATGCAACAGTTTTTGCAGAGAAGAAATATACCACCAACCCCACATACTTCTATCCTATACTGATCATTACTTATAGTTTCAATGGATGACCTGGTTTCCAAAAAGTGGGGGCGAGACGTACTCCATGTGTTTTGCGCATGTTCCATAATTTGGGGCGGTTGCATTCAAATTTAAAAGATTGTCACGGCATGCTCTGTACTATAGCTGATTATATACATATAAGATATTAAATCTATTTTCACTGAGTTCACTTCAATTTCTAAATGTTTACTTTTCTACCATTTTCTTCTATGAGTCCTCTATCGATAGGCTCCTTATCTAACACATTATTTTACTATTAATTTCAATAAATAACGTAAGTATCTGCATAACCTATTTAATATTTTGCAGGCTCGAATAAAATAAAACAGAATACAAATTTATATGCTTTTAAAACTATGTACATAGGCATGTTCGTAATTTTGGACATTTTTTTAAATGACATTGGTGTTTTTATTAAACAAGACTTAGTATTTCAAAAAATCGCTACTATTCGCAACTGACAATCTTTTTTTTTATAAAAAAAAAGTATATAATTATTTATTAGTGGTTTCTGCAGTTTATTTGACAATATAAAAAACATGCTATAAAATATCTGTATGAGACCAATCCGATAATAATATGTCTACGATTAAGGAAGGCTCTTATCGAGTATAATTTTGAAACATTTTTACTAAATATCAACACAACTTAAATTAATAGAAGAATTAGTGCAGGTTTAAACAGATTATGAAATAAAACTCAAAAGATACATTTATTTATTTATTTATTAAAATATACACTATACCATAACAGTTTCACCTCACCAAAGCACTAGCACAGCGCAAAACAAAATGAGAATATTTTTTAGGTTAGCTTGGTTTGGCTTTTTTACCGCTCGGCGCTCACCGTTCTTGGTTCCTTTCAACAAATCAAAACCCGTAAAGTAAACGCATGCGTATGAATACGCTGGTACCTCGCCCCACTTTTCGGCTTCAAGTCAATTGCAAAATGATCAGTATAGGATAGAAGTATGTGACCAACCCTCAGGAATGGATTCTACAGTTCAAAATAATGAGACAAAACTCAAATGTTTTTATTGCGATTTTCATTTGTTTTCAAACTATGAGTATATTTCAATAAAAAAATTAACTTACTGATATTCTATTAATCATAGATTTCTTTGATTAAATGTTAAAAAATACTGCCATTGACCTCAACACTTTCTGCTTTGTCTACGAAGGGTGTCTGTAGCTCTCATTGCTGTATGTCTTTCTTTAATAAGTGCTTCAGTACCTATTGACGGTACGTCAAATTAGTGCCTCCCAAGTATTCACTCTAACTTTGTACACTTCATTTTTGAACCAGCCTCATAAACAGTAATCTAGTGCTGTGAGGTCTGGAGATCTTGGAGACCAACTAATAGGACCACCGCGGCCAATCCAACGCCTTAGAAACATCTCGTTCAAAAGTAACTTGACAAAATGTGCTTGAGCTCTATCGTGTTGGTAGTACATTCGCATTCTCATGTTTATAGGAACATCCTCTAGTACAGGGGTCGGCAAGTAACTTTAGGTGGGGTCCGGATACTTTTGAAAATTTTTAACTAGGTCCAGAAAAAAAATTCATATCACTAATTTTTTATTTGAATTTGCACTCAAATTTAATCTGCTTACTAACCATTAAGAACTCAAATCAGTCACACAATTATTGTAAAATACTAGAAAAAATGATAAGGGTGGCACTCAAATGTAAAAAACTATTTTTTAAATAATTTGAGTAATTTATACTTTCAAAAAATTCCAGTCCAGTCCAGTATTTTACCTTCTGCGGTCCGCCAGTTGCCGACAGCTGCTCTAGTAGTACTTGCAATTCATTTTGGAAAAAAATGGTCTCCAGTGAGTCGATTCTCCAAAACGAAAGGGCCAATTAAATAACTATCGATCATACATCACCACACATTTACTGAAACCTATGCTAAAAATTATTTTCGAGTGTTATGTAAAGATTTTTGTCTGGCCATACATGAGAGTTCGGCGTATTAGTTATGTCGTCGTAGTTGAATGCTGCTTTATCCGTAAGAAGTATAGTCGATACTCTTAGCATAATCTTCCGGTTGTAGGTGTTGTACTCTCTGTACATGGTACGGATATAAGCCTTGTTCGTGGAGGGTTTTTATTACCCATTTTTGTGGAATGCCCAATTGAGTAGCAATACTTCGTGAGCTGGTAGTTGCATCATCTTCTGTTAAACCCAGAATATTTTCTACTTCTAAACCTTGTCGATGAGCTCATTCAGATGTTATACTAGCACGGTATCTTTCAGTTTCGCACAATTGTTGAAAACTGATAAATACATTTTTATCAGGACATCTGTGATGTGGAAACCGTTGATGATCTTCTTCAACAGCGGCATTAGCATTCCCATTACAAAAATCATAAACAAACACCACATTTGCATGCTTTAAATTTGAATCAATTCTTGGAATTTTGTAACACAATCAAATTTTATTCTCAACATAAAATAACACTGACATTCATATATGCTACTTTTGAACTTGAAACATGACATATTCTGATTTCAAATTTTTTAAATTTGTAAGTACGCTGTAACTTGAAAACAGATGAAAATCGTTTAACAACACTTGAGTTTTTTGATATTATTTTAACGTGTAGAATCTATTCGGGAAATTTGGTTCGATTCTCTTGACTCACTCTGTATATAATCCTTTTTTAAAACAAAAATTACATGTTTTAATAATGATTTTATGAATCGTGTACGAAACTAGAATTTAGTTCAGTGAGTTACTATAAGATGGCGTTAATGTGCAAGAGAATGATTTCAGACTTTTACAAATGAGATATATAAGCGCCTTTTTAAATGTTACCGTAAAATCCTACTAACTGTAATTGTAAATAATTGACACTACGATGAAGTAGGCAAGTTATCCTTAAAATTTCTGAAATATAAGAAATTTCCCAATGTGGCTCATTTATTTAATTTTCTTTACATATAATACGGAAGTAGTTTCTGAACCAGTTACAATGATTCAATTGGTAATCCATGGCAAAAGGACAAACAAAATAATGTAACATTAAATAATTAACTCCATTTGAATTAACCAACTCCCTTCTATGCATTTTTATTACTTTTCTTCATTCCGGCTTAGTCATTTCATCTGCCTAATTTTATTTTCTAAATTATCCCTAATTTGAAACTTATCGTTATAATTTTTTCCCAGAAATGGAGATATTTATAATTATTAATTTGTTTAAGGTTCCTACCATGGCCTTTTTTAACAGCTATTTAAATAAAGTTACCTTGAGAATTTGAAAACTTAATATAAAATAAAATGTTTGCGGAAAAGCTTAGTTAACTCTGTTAGGTTTTTAATTAACGTTTGCGCTAAAGTAAAAAAAAAATATATACTAAATATTTTTAATTATATATTTTCTTTAATATGTATAGAAGGGTTTATATGGATGTTAAATTAGAGTATATTACTAACTTTTAAATAAAAAAATCACTAATACATATTTTTTATAAAATCCACCCCTCTTTTAATAGTAGAATCGGTTGTCTATGACTAAAATCAGATTTAGTCCTGTTAGAGTAATCACTGTACTGGTTGCTCCATGAAAAGTGAAACGCTCTGTTCACTTCATCGTCGTCATAATTTTGATAATCCAGGAGTCATTGCATTTCTTAAGGGATGGTTTTTAGGCCCACATAAATAATTTTTCAGGTCAAAAAAATTTGCAAAATAAATTGAAGGCTAGCGTCTCCTCAGATTTTAAAAAAAGCACATCTGCAATATACAAGTATTTATTTGTAATATATAACATAATTTGTTTTTTACGGAATTAAATATTCTTTATAGTTACAGGTATTTAAATTTTAAAATTTCATACTATAATTATGTGAAAAATAATAATAATTTTGTATCATTTGAGGTCTGATAGGAGGCTATCCTTTTTTCAGTTTCTTTATTTTGCAAATTTGTTTGGATATTTTCATTATGAAAGTTTTCTATCTAGACCTAGAAATCATCCCCTTAAAAAATTGTATTAAAATGAAACAGAGAAATAACTTGGAATTGGAAAATGAGAGAATTATATGTTCTCAAATACAGAAAAAAAATTACACAGGCCGACAAAAAAAAAATGTGTTTTTGAGACACGACCCTACCCATATTTAGTAAAATTTTCCGCTTAATCCGAAAATAATAAAAAAAAATGTGTGACCTATGGTTTCTCCCCCACACACCCTCAATTCCCTCCCAAAAATTAAAAAACTCGAAACTAGCCATTCAAACCACATATCTTTAGTAAAATTTTCCATTGAATCCATTTCCGTTGAAATGAATTTAGCAAATTTTTGAGTGGAAGCTTACTGTTTTCCAAAATGTTTTAAGGTCTTAAGTAACTTTAAACTAGGTAGCATACACAAGGTATTTTCTAAAATATTTTAGCATTTTAATTCCGCAATCAATCAAAATTCAAGCGTTGAAGCCTTTTATTTTTAAGAGAAGCAAAGCATGGATCCCTCACGTCCAAACAATTTTTTTGCCATTTTCGGATTCTGTGAATAAAGATAGGTAGGTTAGATGGATAGTTTGGATTTTTCGAATTTTTGGGGGGAATTGGGAGTGTGTGGGGGAGAATCCATGTCAAAATTTTGTTTTAATCATTTTCGGATTCATTCATTTTACTACAGATTGGTAGGGTTACATCTCAAAAACACACAATTTTTTTATTTTATCGACCTGTATACATTAACTCGGTAACTAAAGTTGTAGAATGAACTCTAAATATAAGAAATTAGATTCTGAAAAAACAAGAATATTAAGCTAAATTTGTAAAATATGAGACTTTTTCCACGATCCTTCAGGGTTCGCGACTACAACTTCGGGAAATATGATGTATAGAAGATACATGGTGCAGGTGGTTAAGTAGGTGACCGAGCTATAGGTCAACATATCGTTCCTATTATCACGTAGAGGCGTATGTGTATATCCATTTCTTGGATTATACGCCCCTACGTGATAAGAGGGACAATATATCACAATGTGTATTATCTCTCCATAAATATGTTTATATCATTATATCATGTTTATATCATAAACCGTTTCTCAAATATGAAAGTAGTAGAAGACTTGACACATTGGTTAAATTATGGAATATAAATTATGTTTTCTGCAATCTCCTCTGATTTTGCATTCCTCCCCTTAATTATGTCAATATTTATTTTTTAGGTCATTCAAGAGAAAAATAGTCCTCTCTATAGCCATAGTCTTTCTTCATTTAATAATCATGAAAAGCAAATAGAACTTGAGAACGGCTGCAGTAATATAATAGAGATTTATGAAGATGAAATAAAACAATTGAAAATTAAAAATGATTCTATCCAAGCAAGATTGGAAACTGTTAATCAGGATAATGTTAAACTCTGTGAGGAAGTTGCAGAAGTAAAAGATAAAATGTGCATTTTACAACAAGATTTGAATAACCTGATAATTGAAAAGAGAGACAAAGAGGCAAGCCTTGAACAGATCAAGGAAGAGAAAGAGAAAATAGAAAATGAATTAAAAAAACTGAACCAAACAATTTATGAATTAACAGATCAGAATAACAATTTATCAGAAAAAGAGAAGTCGATGAATAGCACATTGGAATTGAAAAGCAAGATAATGACAGAGTTGGAAAAAAATTTAATAGAACTTAAGAAAGAATTTACAAGTTTGCAAATAGCCAATATTGCAAAGGAAAAGGAATTGTCTACTAAGTTTAACTTTGAATCGGCTTATAAAGAACTCCAAGTGGAATTAAACGAAAGAAATGAAGAAGTAGAAACCTTAACTAAATCTAATGATGAACTTAAAAAACGTCTGACGAAGTTAACTACTTCAAACCAAGAACTTGAGTCATCGTTGTCGCAAGCAATGGCGAATTTAAAAGACAATGAAGATAAATCAAAGAAAATGATGTCATTAAATGAAAACATTACCTTAACTGCAGCTCAAGTCCAAGTCCATTTAGACAGAAAAAATGATATGATAAATGAGCTTGTTGAATTAAATAAAAGATTTGAAAACAACATTGAAAAGTTAGAGGAAGATTTGCAAATTAAAGTAGTAGAAGTTACAAAGTTAAGAGACACTCTCGAAGCTGATGTCGAAATTAAAAACATTATGTGGCGTGACAATAAAGAACTGAAGTTACAACTTGATTCCGAAATTAAGAAAAATGAAAAACTCTTAGTTAAAGTCAAGGAAATTGAAGAAAAACACGAACAGGAATATAGCGAATTATTATCAAACTACAATACGGAAGTAGAAAGAAATTGTGAATTATGCAATCAAATCTACACATTGAAAGCTGATTTATCTTCTTCTATAAAGAAATGTAACGAAGAAGTTGATAAAAATTGCAAGCTCTATGAACAGGTTTCTGCTCTAAAAATAGATATTGACTCAATTAGGGAAAATCAAGAGAAATATAAGTTAAAAATTGATAAAAAACTAACTGACTATGAAGAACTCATAAATGCTTTAGAAAAAAAGTTGCAAGAAGCGGAGTCAGAGAATGATAAATTGAAAACCACATTAGCCGCAAAAGAGAAAAAAAAACCTGCAAAGTTTTTTGATGTGGATCTTAATTTATCAGAGAGCAAAAGTAGCAGAAGTTTTGAAAAACAAAAATTGGCAATTGATCGTTTGAAGGAAAGACTTGAAAGCATGCAAGAACAATTGCAACTTGAAAAAACTAAACGTGAAATTCTTGAACAGTCAGTGAAGGAGAAAGATGATTTTGAGGATAAATATACAAAGAGTGTATTAGATTTCGAACAAGTGCAGTGTTCTAATATTTTAGAAAAACAGGAATTGCAAAATACAATTATTGATTTATCGTCCAAAGTACAAATACACGAGGAACGTAGTACTGAGTTAGAAAATAAGTTGAGAGAAACAGAAGAGTCTTTATCTTTAAAACTGTCTCAGCTAGAACAACAAAATCAACATCTGTACACGGAATTGAGAAATAACGAGTTTGTAATAAAGAATGCATATTTGGAAATCGACACTTACAAAAATCTATATAAAAACGCAGACCTGAAAGCACAAGAATTATCAAAAACTATATCAGTTTATTTACTTGAATGTAACAATAGACAAAAAGAAATTCAATACCTCAGTGCACAACTGACTGACAGAGATAATAAAATCCTTTCTTTGTCATCAAAGAAAGCTGACCAAGATATAGAAATGTCGAGTATTTTAAATGAATTAACTGAGAAAAAAAATGTGAATTTGACTTTAGAAAAGGAAAATAAATTGCTACAAGAAATGTTATCAAAATCTGATGACCATAAAGAAAAAGAATTGTTGGATATTGAAGAGAAGCTGAAAAGTACCCGTAGACTCTTACAGTGTAGTGAAATGGAGCTCAATTTAATTGGAAAAAAACTTTCTGATTCTAAAGAAGATTATGAGAAAATGTCTAATGAAATAACCAAATATGGGCATATAATTACAAATGGCAAAACTGAATTATCCAGGTAATTTTAGTTACTAGGATGTGAATTGATTTTGAGGGATTTTTTTGTAAATTCAAGGCTATTGTGAAAAATTGTGTACATTATTATTCTTCAAAGTATTGTCCATCACTAGTGACTTTTTTCATCTTTCTGGCAGTATACGAATTCTCTCTTGAACGAACAATTCATGTTTTGATGCTATCCACCAATCAATCCAATTTTTCATATGTTCATAACATTGGAAGATCTTTTTAACCAGGCCGTGTTCCATAGATCGGAGCAGGTAGTAATCTGGAGAATATGGCGGGTGGGGAAACCATTCCATTTCAGCATTTCTAAGTATTTTTTGACTTCATGAGCAACATGTGGTCGAGTGTTGTCATGTCGTTACTTCATCATGCCTTTGCTCGAATTGCGACCGTTTTTCCTTCAATGCACGGTTCAAAGGCATCAATTGTATTCAATTGTGTTTGGTAGCATTTACCAGAGGTGGTTTCATTCGGTTGAAGCAGCTCACAGTACTCATCAAGCTGGTCCTACCAAATACAGTGCATGAGCTTCAAACCATGAATATTCAGCCTTATCGTCGATGTTCATGCATGACTAGGCAAACCCCAGGTTTTTTTAAGGTTAGGATTATCATAGCGTATCCATTTTTCATCGCCAGTAACAATATGATGCAAAAAACCCTTTCTTTTTTGACGTTGAAACAATTGTTAACTTGTGAAAAATCGCCGTTCAATGTCTGGGCTTCAATTCGTTTGGCACCCAATATCCATGCTTTTGAACCATATCTAGTGCATTTAAACATTTAGAAACTGTTGCGCTATTCAATGATTCAGCAAGTTCATCTTTCGTTTGACATGAATCTTTGTTGAGTAATACTTCATCATCTTCGAACTCTTTTGGTTGATCGGGGCATTCTTTGTCAACTGTTTGGAAATTACTACTTCTAAAATGACGAAACCAATATTTACACGTTTTTATCGATGGAGTATGTTCACATAAGTCTTCAACAGTACTCGATGACTTTCAGTAGCACTTTTCTTTTAATTAAACTGGAAAAGTAAAAGTTCCTGCAAATGGCATTGAAGGCTCGTAATTCGACTGGAACTGAGAAAACATTTGTTGTTTACTACACTTCAACAAAATGACACATAATAAAAAGTAAAGCCTAATGACAGAGCTTTGACATGAATATAGTTACAGAAGTGTCCGATGCGGTATAGCATAAGTTACCGAATCTATTGTAAATCCCTCAAAATTAATTCACTGTCCCAGGAGAAGAAAAGTGTCAAACTATTTGGTATTGCTTTTATACTTCAAAGCTGAAACGAACTGATTTAAATAAAAAAGAAGTTTAATTTCTTTATTTGTTCACTATCCCGGAAATATAGAATGCAACCCTGGAACATCTCTCAAAATGTCTTTACATCAATTATAAAGATACTCATTTTTAAATATCATATCCAAATTTAATAAATGTATTCCTGGTATGTTTGAATTAATTTCAACTGTTTTATTTAATTTTTTAAATATTTATTCTTTTTTTAATTTATGTAAAATAGATTTCACACTTTTTCTCCTACATATACTTAATCTTTAGTAGAAGAAAGGCATCAAACTATTTGGTATTGCTTTTATACTTCAAAGTTGAAATGAACTGATTTAAATAAAAAAAAAATATGCCGAAGTTGCTACTAAATTATTTGCAAATTATTTGCAAAATTAACTTTACTTAACTGTGTTAATCGAATTTTTTAGAGCTTCAAATCTAGTACTTAATAAATGGAATGAAATATTGGAACACGAAACTATTTACAAGGAGATGATATTATTGAAAGATTCTGAACCTTCAGAAAAAGAACGTGAAATATGCTCATTGGATAATAATATAAAAATTGCTGTATTGTTATTGGAACTTTTGGTAAGTCTAGTAAAGATATTAAGTGTAGAATTATAATTATTAAAACTAATCCACAGGACGTACTGATTTATATATGGCTATTATTGTAATTAAAAAACAAATGAAGTTTGAATGTTTTTGTAAGCGAACTAAGAATGCCCATATTTGGAAATTATAACTTCTAAATTGCAAATGCTGAGACTGTTTTAATTTTTTAGGTGACAATTAAAAAAAATTATATTAGCAATTTTTTTAGTGAAAATCTAATAACATGTAATACGAGGGTTACCTTTTATATTTTGGGATTGGACGATCCTGGTGCTGCAATCTGACAACCGATATCCCTATCGTAAAGTTTGACTTTATTTTGGTATACTTAGAACGTTTTTGTTATTTGTGTTGTTTACAGTGAATTAAACAATTCATCTTAGTGATAAAATGGAAATAAGTTGTGAATATGCGATTATTTTTTATAACTTTTGACGTGAATTATATCAACAACAGTGCATGGATGAACTTAATTCTACTTTTGGTGTTGAAGCACAATCAAAAACCACTGTATATTGGAAGCATACGGAATTCACTCGTGACCGTTGTTTACTCGCTCACGAATTTCATGAAGGTCGTCCAAAATCGGTTGCTTCAGAAAACATTGACGCTGTTAATGAACTAATATTGCAAGATTGACTTATCGTGATCCTTAGGCATTAATTGGACCAGCAAATTTAATATTGCATGAACATTTGGTCACCAAAAAAATTTCTTCGCGTTGGATCCTTGACATACGCTCAAAAAAGGCTCGTATCGATTGGTCGAAAGAAATGCTCAAGAAATACGATTGCAGTGCTTCAAAACACGTCTATGACATAGTAAAAGGTGAAAAATCATGAATCTGCATATGAGCCTGAAAATAAATAGCAGTCAACTTTATGGGTATTTCAGTATGAGCCAAATTCAACAAAAGGTTTTAGTGCACAAAGCACTTCTGAGCAAATGGTTGCCTGTTTTTTCGAAAAAATGTAATTGTACCATTAGTGCAAGATCGGATGGTCAATTCTGAATGGCACATAACCATTTGTTTGCCAGAAGTCTTCGGAAAAATAAAGGAAACCAACCGCCGAACACACACATCGGTTCAAACAAGAGACTTTTTGAGAAAAGTTCAATTGATGTCATCCACCATACAACTCTGATTTGGCACCCACTGACTTTTTATTCTCGCATATCAAACATAAATTACGAGGTAAATGTTTTTCGACTCCTGAAAAAGCTTTTGATGCGTTCAAAATGCATGTTTTGGAGGTACCTCAATCGGAATGGAAACAGTGCTTCGAAAATTAGTTCAAACGCATGAAAAAGTGTATTGATTTTCATGGAGAATATTTTGAAAAACAATAAAGCCATATAAGATGATTAATTTCTTTTTTTTATTTACTGTTTCCGAAATATAGAACGCAACCCTAGTACATCTCATTTTTTAAATATCATCCAAATTTAATAAATGTATTCCTGGTATATTTGATTTAATTTCAACTATTTTATTTAATTTTTACATATTTAATTTTTTCTAATTGATATAAAAAAGAATTCACACTTTTTCTCCTACATATACTTAATCATGAGACATAAAAAAAGGTAAATGTAATGAGACTTATTAGCAATTAGGTGCATGCTTGGTACTTTTTGCCTATTAATCTACACTACCCTCCACCTTACAAATACAAACATCCATAGGTACGACAGAAAAATTCTTTCAAAGTTTTTTACCACGTATGGGACTCGAACTCTAAGATACTGCCAGCCTGTTCTGGCCTTAGCTTAGTTGCGGGGCTTTGACCGCTCAGCTACCTCCGCACCTATCAAGAGATATAACAAAGTCTATGAGTGGTCCCCGTTTTTATTATTATTTTTTATTTTATGGCCTGTAAAGGAGGGGCCAAACTTGATAACTTTTGGGGGGTTTTCATAGAAGGTTTATGCAATTTTTTGCTAAAATCTAGTGGTGGTTTTTAAACATGTAATATCCTATACAGGGTGTCCCGTTTAAAACTCCCCAGCTGGATATCTCAAAAACAGAAAAAGATAAATGATTTCTGAAAAATCCGCTGTATAGTTTCAATAAATGTCTTTACTTGTGAGTACAAATCCCGTTCCTCTCAGTGCAGGTATAGATGTCGCTGCAATCTGAAAACATATTTTGTTGACAGCAGTTTTAAAAAGTGGCGCACATGAAAGATCTCTAAATTATAAGCAACTTTTATGATATAAACAATTTTCGAAAAGCCACTAGTTTCCGAGATACTTGGATTTGAGGTAATTTTTTTTCCAGGAGGAAGATTTTTTAAAGTTAAGTTTTCAGGCATAACTACTGCAGATTTACGTCATATTAGATTGCTTTGAATAAAACAGTGATGAATTAATTTTATTTAACTAATTTATATCACAGGAAATTACTTGATTTAATCTTGTTTATTTAACAAAAACTGATGCAAAATTAACAAAAATTACAAATAAAATCCATATAGTCAGTCCATATAATGTTATTTAAAAACTGGTCGTTTTCTTGAACCTTCTTTTGTTTTCTTGAAGTGTCAAAGTTGATTACATATTACTATTATCATAACTACAAGTCTACACCTTCAACTTTGACACATTTGACATTTATTCAGTATTAGTCCGCGTGCCAGCTGCAGAATTTGTTGAGTTATTTTCTAGATAAAAAATTTGAGTTTACATGACAGTTTTTACCCCAACTAAGGTCAGGCAGTGATATGAAACTCCTAGAGCGGTAATGGTGGGTACCACCCTACCCTCCAATGCGTATGGATATTAAAAAAATTTTGTAATCTTTAAATGGACCAAACTCAAGAATAAGGCATTTGATGCTGTGTTTAGTCGATTAAAGCTAGTCAGCTGGCTCATTGATGGTAATTAGTACGTCAGCTGACCGTCGGAACAGGTTAGATGAAAAAATAATTGAAAATTATTTTTTATGTACTGAAATTGAAATATATTGCAACTTATAGTGCATATAGGGCCATAAAAATAGTCAGCTGGCCAATCGTTGGTAATAAGATCGTCAGCTGAGGCAATCAAACCCCTTGCGGCAGCGCGCTCGTGAGAACATCGAATGATATGTTTTTCGCATTAACTGACTACTCTTTTACCCATGAACCGCCAGCTGACTATGTTTTTTGCTTTGTATACACAATAAACTATCGTTTGGACCCATTTTTGACTGA